GTGTGTGTGTGTGTGTGTGTGTGTGTGTGTGTGTGTGTGTGTGTGTGTGCGTGTGTGCGTGCGTCTGAGTTGGCATCTCCTTGTTCACCACACTTTCAGAGTTCAGATGTGAAAAGAGGGGGAGATCTGGTGCAGCGTGTGGAGATTGTTCTTTTCATGGTCTCTCCTGCACCAGATTCGTGTCCCTGCTCGTCACACATTCCACAGCTGTACCCTCCCTGCGCCTCCTCCGTTCCTCTCCCCTTTCCTATACCTGCCTGATGTCTTTTCATCCGTTCACTCTTTTCTTAAAAATTAAAACCCAACAATGCTCCGCCATAGTTACGCCCTTCTGTGCAGAGAGTATACCGCTGTGTTATGTTTGCTGTGTTTACTGTGTGTTCTGTGGTCTCATCTATTTTTCCTGCCGGCACCAGCCTGTACATCTGCCAGTCTGCGTGTTAGCTGATATCTTATTTATAAATGTATCGGCTGAGAGGAGTACTTCAGGGGCTGCGGTATCATTGCAGAAAATACTGCAGAGGAAGCACGGTTAAAATCTGTTCCATTGCTGCTTGGAACAGAAAGACTGAGAGATGCGTGTTTGTTAACCGTTGGCCAAGATAATTTGGATGTTCCCACAGGATGTTGAGAAACACTTATGCCGCTGACTCATGTTTTTATCCCAGATGTTTCCGAATCCTCCAAACAAAAGGACAGAATCAACATATAGTGGAATTCCCCCACCGTGTGATTCATTAGAGATAGCCACAGGTTTTGATGGCGTTACCTAAAACCAGGTGCGTCCTGTCTATAATCTTCATGCACCTCTTTCTCTTTAGAACTGGGCCATGATCACAGCCGCAGAGTATGGAGAAACATCATGGGAGCTGTCCGTGCAGGTGGATCAAAAAGATGGCGACGAGTCCATGAAATTTAAGCTGAGGGTGAAGGGAGACTTGCACATCGGAGGCCTCATGCTTAAGCTGGTGGAGAAGATCAGTAAGTGCCTCAGATGTTCGCCTGCAATCTGTCACACTCAATTTTTGGTTTTGTTTACCTGGTAAAAGGGTGCATCCATTCGACTTTGCTTTTAAGAGCAGTGCCTCGAACCTCCCCCTGCTGCCACAACAGGTCTGTTAGTCAAGGCACACCCTTGTTTGCCCTGCATTTTTCTACACCGCGGTGCTATTGTTTTGCCACAATGCAGTGGCTTCTGTAGCCCCAGGGGCTAAAGTTCAGCCACAATCTGGTCTGATATCTCTTTACATAAATTCAGAGGAGCTAATGTAGTGTGAGAGGAAAATGTAGTAAGGTGTTTTAAACAGCACAAGACATAATAGATGACTAAGTATGTTGTCATTAACGGGCGTATTTCTGCCCAGCACCATAACATGATGTCAGGTAGACTCATAAAACCACACTTTAATCATGCTCATCCACCCACACAACAGTGGGTTCAAGGAAGGGTTTGTGTTGGTAGCAGAGGATGTAGATACGAAGCCAGAGATCCACCTCAAGACCCTTTAAACTTGAGATATGACAGTAGCATTGCAGTAATATGTTTTACTTTACTAATCTGTGTGTCTACAGAGGCTCCTCAGGACTGGTCGGACCATGCCCTGTGGTGGGAGCAGAGGAAATGCTGGCTACTCAAGACCCACTGGACCTTGGACAAGTATGGAATTCAGGTGATATGTAGATGCCAAAGTGATTTAATCTGTTTTTATAATAAAGCTGTTATTTGATATGTTAGAATTTCAATATTTTGATTCCAAAAATAATTCAAAATTTCCCCAAGAAACGCATTTCTACACTGGCCGAAAACTGATTGAATGCCTGTGGCAGAGAAGAGTCAAAGCCATAATAATTCAATTACGCGCATGTGTTTGCAGCTCCTCAAGGCAGGAAGAGCCATCAGTGGTTTTATCTTGTCTGTCCAGCCTGAATCATTTGTTGGCTCTATAATTCAAACACATGTTGTACAGCCAAGCATTGTTCAACTTCAAGCACAAAGACCTATATAATTATTGTGAATATTTTGCTGTCAACAAAGCAATAACGACCCAATTCATGCTAAAAAAGATCAGCTAAATGTGTACAATATGAGTGCAATGCACATTTATGTGTCAAAGTTCAGGTTCAATGTCAATTTGTTTTGTCCATTATCTAGATTGCATGTGTAAACTCTTTATAATACAGATACCATTTATTCTACACAGGCTGATGCTAACCTGCGCTATACACCCCAGCACAAACCCCTGCTGCTGCAGCTCCCCAATATGAAAACCATCAAAATGACCGTCTGCTTCTCCAGTGTGGTCTTCAAGGCGGTGGCGGAGATCTGTCAAATGCTCAGTGAGTTTCTCTGTCCTCTCCGATTGCAGTGTGTCGTTCTTGATTGATCTCAAATGAAGACTCACCTTCCCTCCGTATTGTTCCTCAACCCTCACACCGTCCCCTGTTCCCTTCGCCCCAGACATCAGAAGATCAGAGGAACTGTCCCTGCTGAAGCCTCCAGACGACCCCTCTAAGAAGAAGAAGAAGAAAGACAAGAACTCAGCGCAAGAAGACATCTGGGACATTGATTTGTTTAGCGGGGGACCGGGGGGCACAGGTACTGTGGAATACGTTGCTGAAAAAAGATTCAGGCTGATACTCGTATTATAAAAAGAAAAAGATGCATTGGTTGGAAAGAAATGTTTCTTGAATGTTTCCAGTGTTAATAAACTTGTCTTAGCCTAGGTTTTGTCATAGTGAAAGTGTGATTCTGGCCTCTTGTGTGTGACTCTGGAGGGCCTGGTAATGTATATCAGTTTGCTTATGACAAGGTCAAATGTGTTATTGCAGTTAAAAGTATTGCTCATTTAGATTTAGCTCCCAACAGACTCACCAACTAAATTTGAGTAACTGAAGTTGAACAGGTGTAACAAATAATAGCCGTTGTTAATGTTACTAGTTTGACCGGTGCTTTTCCTGCTAAATCAACTGTGACTAAATTTAGGTGAGAAGAATATTAATAATGTCTGTAATCTGAAACTTTCAGATTAATTTCAGGCCCTAGAAGGGATGGCATCTTTATTTCTATGAGTTACGTCTGCTAGAGGAGGAGAAGAAATGAGAAACCTCTATGCATATAGCGCTGCGGAGATCTGACAGGCCACACTTTCCATCAGTGAGATCTGAAAGAATTGTTCAGTATGCTGCCATGTTCTCCGGTGTTTCACCAACACGCACTCCTCCGCTCGTATCATGTTCGGATTTCACACCAACCTAAAGATCACTCTTATTAAGACCTTTGATCTCTGCCACCTTTAATGTTGGTACCTTCCCACTTTCATCATGCCTTATTTAGTTTTTAAGAGTCTCAAGCTTTCTGTCGAACTTTTATTCTGACTGTTGATGTTCCTTTGCTTTTAAACGTTTGGTTTTTTTTCCGTCCTATACAATCTGACAGTGAGTTGATCTCAGCTTCCAGTGTGTCTCCTTTTACAATTCCTTTAAAGATGCTATGAAGGTATGCTGAATCCTTTGTGCAAACCTGATATTAATCATTTATCTGCTCTATTATTCTCCTTGAACAAGGCCCCATGTACAGTAAGACCATGACAGCCACCTACGACCCAGAGAACGGGATGCCGGTGTCTGCCACGAGCCTCTGGTTTGGAGAAAACCCTCTAGCCGAATCGCAGCCAAACTTGCCGCCTGCTGAGCTGGCAAAGATGTACCAGCCGCTCTCGCCAGTGGACAAAGCAATCAACATGGCAGGGTAGATGAAAAGTTTTGTTTTTTTCTGCTCATAGATTTGAAACTCCAACATCTCTTCTAATTGTTTGTTTGCTATGATCGACAGGTGGTTGGACTCGTCTTGTTCTCTTATGGAGCAAGACATTCTACATGAAGAAAAGCTACTGCTTCGCTTCAAGTACAATGTCTTCTTTGACCTCAATCCCAAAGTAAGAGACCCAAAATGTATTCCGTTTCTATTCAATTTGAAGGTTTTGAATTCAAATGTGAGTGTGTGTTTTTTTGTGTTTTAGTACGACGCCGTCAGAATAACCCAGCTGTATGAACAAGCTCGCTGGTCCATCCTGCTGGAGGAGATAGACTGCACTGAGGAGGAAATGCTGATGTTTGCTTCATTACAGGTGAACAATATGCCATCACAGTTATGAAAAGTGACGTATGGTTCTGTAGATCAGGAAGAAGACTTAATTCTTGATGGCACATCTATCAGTCATACATTCAAAGACACTTGCATGTTTCTCTTAAACAGTTAGAACTAAACTAGCGTAAGGCACTCCTGATTTAAATTGGCTTGTGATCACGGTATGATTGGCACGCTGGTAATGTGGCCTAAATTAGCTGCATGTACAGTATATGGCGGTCTTGGAGCTCTGAATGGTATCCATTCAGGAGAGCTGGTTTGGTGTCTAAATCCATGCGAGGACGTGTCAGGACATGAGGAAAATCCCACTGGAAAGGGAGGATGGGAGGGAGAGGCAGAGATATAGGAAGAGATATTGAATAGTGGGAAAAGTGCTGTGGTAAAACTCAAAGCTCCCCATCAGACACAGATTGCTCGAAGGAACTAATGTGGCAAAGTTTTAGATGTGACATTCTCTGTGTCTACGTTTTCAGGCCGTCTCTGATCCGTTCAGATTCTGTTATTTTGCAACGGTGATTCAGAAATCCCAGTGATTCAGAGAGAGAGATCAATGTTGGACTCACCTACACATTGGTGCAATGGCTGGCACACTGGGCTTCCTCTGACTCATGCCTGCCTTTGCGTAACCTTCTTAAGTCATCATGACTTGTACTTGTTAGAATATTTGATTGTTGCTGTTAGAAAAGTCAGCTGAGAGTTGTCTACCTATGGCAGTGTTGTAGTCAAGACCACCTAAACCGAGACCAAGACCAGAAGGTATCAAGACCGAGACAAGACCAAGACTTTGAGGGGTTGAGACCAAGTCAAGACCAAGTCCACGGCAGGGCGAGTCCCACACTGCACGACTCACTTGCTATGAAATGTGGAACATGCAAACCAGACTCTCTTCAAATTGATCAGAAAAATCCTTATTTCCATAAAAACACCCGCAGAAAATGAATAGATTCCTCTTAATTCACCTTGTTTACTGTCATATATTATATTGTATATATGTGTATAAGTCTAAGTGTGTCATGAGAAATGTTTTGATAAAATAATCAAAAGGCATCGCAGAGGTGAATTGTATGTGTGGAAATTGTCCTGTTTTCTATGAACAATTACAGTAATTATGTCAACAAATGATTCAGAGAAATGCACACGCAGTTCTCACAGTTGTGATGTTTTTTCGGAGATGGAGACAAGACCGAGTATAATGCCGTTATACTCGGTCAGACCGATCTCGAGTACTCCAGCACTGACTTATGTCGTAAAAACTTTCATTTCATTTCGTTTTCAGTATCACATCTGTAAACTGACCATGTCAAGTGAACCACTGGACCTCTCCAACGAGCCAGAAATAGATGAAGTAGAGGCCGCCCTCTCCAACTTGGAGGTGACACTTGAAGGCGGACTCCCAGACCGAATTCTGGTAAACATATTTTTTTTTAGACGGGGCTACACTGGGATGAATGTTAAGTGTAATTTTAAGGTTTCCAGGTATGTTACAGTATAACACCTGTTTTGTAAGCAGGAGTGATAGGTAGGCCTCCGATGATTGCATGTCTTAACACGGTGATGTCAGGAGAAGTCGCGGGATAATTCACAGTTGTTTGTCCCGCCCCCAGGAAGACATTACAGACATTCCAGAGCTGGCAGATTCCCTCCGGCTGTTTAGGTAAACCCACCTTTGTTCCTATAAAATGAAGATGCCAGTATGAATAACTAAAGTGAAATACCTTTATCTGAAATGGATCCTTTACTGTCCTTTAAACCCTCACTTTCTAGTGCATTTAAATCAGCCTAATTTAGTGGCTTGCAGCCATACAGTTTGATTTATAGGACAGGGGTGAAAATATTCTCTATACAAATGTATTATGTAAATTAGTGCATCTGATATAGACTTCAATCTCATAGTGGCTTATAGGTTGTCTGATAATTGATTAAAGGAAACAACCTTCTGTTGAGCTGCTCACTGCTCTTAATGAGTACAAAATGTATCTCATAACCTTCGTAAAACATTTATGCTGTTTCACTGACAGTCTTTTACTCAGAGGCATCAAGGTCATAACATGTATTGCAGCCAAAAAGCAATGATTTATTTTGTATTTCTTGCTGCCTTGACTCAGGCCCAAAAGACTGCTGCGGCCGTACAAAGAGTACTGGTTTGTATTCAAGGACACCACCATCTCCTACTACAAGAACAAGGAGACCTCCAGCGGAGAACCCATGGAGCAGTTTCACCTCCGAGGTCAGTGAAGAAGAATGATATGAAAAACTGTTATATTTCACATACGATTCACTGGTGCATTCAAGACTCATTTTCATGGTTTTTACTCTTGTGCATGTAGCATTAGCTGTCGTTAGCAAATGAAATAAAGTGTGCACAGAGGTGATATCTAAATACAATAAAGAGAAACGAATAACAATAATGAAAAATAATACTTTCATATTAATAATAGACGTAAAAAAGTACTAAGTTGGCTTGGAGCCCCCCCTCCATAATACCCCCATCCTTAATGAAAAACACCTCATGTGTTCAGTGTTGTTGAGGATTAATAGCCCTCAATGTAAGCATTCCCATGATGGGTAATTACGTCTTTGAGTGTGAGCAGGAGCAATTCCCTCCAAAGGCTAGAAAACTGAGGACCAAGATATTCTCATTATTTAATAATAAATTGAATGTTGTACAGGTTGTATTTACTTGTATTGTTTATGGGAAAATAAGTAAATGTCATCTGTCACAGTCCAGATAAAAAAATGTATTCTGTAATAATATTAGCACATCTGTTGTGTCTTGCTTGTCTTCTTCTGTCGTTAAAGGGGGACTTCGGTATCTTTCAAACTGGACCCTATTTTTGCGGTTCAGGATAAAACCTTTTTCTTTACCTTTCACTTGATCCGGGCTGTTTGTTACTATGTGTCTCGCTTCGGGAAGTCTCGTTCTGAAAACTCTTCACATTGTCGAAATCAGCTAAATATTCAGCCATGACATTGAAAATCTTTTGAGTTACACTTAGCTATGCTTTCTTTACTCCAACACAACAAACTCTGGCAATGCTCTCACTCACGTTTCCACCGTTGTCTTCCATTAACATGTCACATGACGCAATAATAAACAGACTGAAACAAGCGAAAGGTAAAGCAAATGTTATATTTCTCTGAAGAGTCCTTTCCATAATGTTGTCAGACACTTGAAATAACAATCTGAGCCAGTCGGCGGGAAAAACATGCACTTTTAGTGTTTCATACATTAACAGTGATGAGTGACCCGAGCGACTACATTGCAGCCTTTTTAGCGGCACTCATCTGAAGCGGTCTCGTTCTATAATGGACCAATTGCATAGGTTGTTGTCCCCGTTAGTCACTTCCACAGAAACATGGAAATATAGTGTGCATGTTGAACATACCAGTTATTCTTTGAATTCACTTCTATCCGTTCCTCTTCACCCGACAGGTTGTGAGGTAGTCCCCGATGTCAACGTCACGGAGAAGAAGTTCGGCATCAAGCTGCTGCTCCCAGTTGCTGACGGGATGAATGAGGTGTACATCCGATGTGACAATGTGAGGCCCTCCTCTTCCTCCCCATGCTTTCGAGCATTTTCCTGTGATAACCAGCAATTCTACCTTTTTTTTCAAAATCCCTTTAAAGTGTGCTTCCATAAACACGGGCTGATGTTGTAACCGTCCTTTAATTGCGGCAGCAAACGCAGTACGCCAAGTGGAAAGCTGCGTGTATCCTGGCCTCCAAGGGCAAGACGATGGCCTACAGCTCCTACAAGTCAGAAGTGAGGAACATCCAGTCCTTCCTGCAGATGAAGAGCATGGCGCCTCCTCCTGGTCAGGCAGCTCCTGACCTTGGCGCTATGGAGATGAATGCCGAATGTTTTTTCTCCCCGCGCTACACCAAGAAGCACAAGACCAAGCAGGTCGGTCTACGTGCAGTATACTCGACAACAGCGTAACATCGCTGTTTTTAATCATTACATACGTTTGCTAAATCTGCCTCTGGTGATTGTTTCAAGCTAACAGCACGCATCCTGGAGGCCCATCAGAACATAGCACGGCTGTCCCTAATGGAGGCCAAGATGCGCTTCATCCAGGCCTGGCAGTCGCTTCCGGAGTTCGGTATCAACTACTACATTGTCAGGTACAGTGTTTATATATTGACGAATATTTCACATACAACCGGTGACATATTTGCACATCTAAATGTTGTTTATGAATGATGATTTGGTTATTCTTTTATATCGTTTCAGGTTCAAAGGCAGTAAGAAGGATGAGATTCTGGGGATCTCTTACAACCGTCTGATTCGTATGGACATGTCCTCTTATCTGCCTGTCACCACGTGGAGGTTCGCCAATATGAAGCAGTGGAATGTTAACTGGGAGATAAGACAGGTGAGGGATCGGTGTGCCATATATTAGGATTTCTCTTCATCTACAGATGGTATTACTTCAGAGGCATGAATACTTTCTATGTGTTTCCAGGTGACCATACAGTTTGACCAGAATGTGTCAATGGCCTTCTGCTGTTTGAGCTGCGACTGCAAGGTGGTCCACGAGTTTATCGGCGGTTACATCTTCCTCTCCACACGATCTAAAGACCAGAACGAGACGCTAGACGAAGAACTGTTCCATAAACTAACTGGAGGCCAACAATGAGGAAAGATAAAAGCCTGAGGGTCTTTCAGTTCATCTGTTTATTTTCCTATGTTGCAATGTGAAAGCGCAGCGTTCATCTACTGTAGCAATGGTAACCCTAAACACTGAATCACTGCCAAAGAAAATGTAATCCTGTAAACTGGAAATGTAAGATGTTCACACACAGAACAAAACTTTTTTGTCATTATATATATCCTGCTGTGAACAGTTATAGCAGTCTACCCTGCACTAAAAAATAATGGCATTGATGTAAATATTTAGTCAAGAATCTTTCAAAACTTGGATGCATTGATATTTGTAGGAATTACGTTTTTTAAAAGGTGAAGAGATGCCCTTGTTAAGGACAGAAAATCATTTTGTAAAAAATCATTAAAGGGTGTTTTTGTTTGTATTTCACAACTTGTTTCACATTTGCTCATTTGCTGCCACACAAACGCAACTGAGTTTTTACATTTAAGGTTGAACTCATCTTAATTAATATAGTGTAATGAGCGTCGATGCTTATTATGTATGATGAAATGCAAATTCGCAAATATTCTGTGCTTAAAGAAAGCAGAATTTATTGTAGGCAGAGAATCTGTTTTTTTCTGTTCATGTTCATGTTGATGTGACAAAGAAATATCATACTTAATTTTGCAATAGCCTCTGTATTGAATGCATTATACAGCCGTACACACATTGTAAACTTCTGCCACACAGCCTGAAAAGTGAAGCTTCAAAACTCACAAGAACTCTGGAAATGTCTTGGATTCATGAAGGACTTCATAAACTATGTGATGTATAACCTGCTTTCAGAAACACTGCAAGCTTCATAACCTATAGTATAGTGTTAGTATAAATACTACAGTATAACGGCAACTTTATTACAACTTGAATCTGATTTATAGGTTTGGACTGAAGTCACTATGACTTACTGTCTGATTGCAGATGGATCATTTCAAAATGACTTGACACTTCCAAGTTATTTAAGATGTCTCCCAGGTTGCATCACATCTTTTCAGTTGGACCGAATGCTGTTGTTGCGTGTGCCGTGTAGGATGCTGTCTTTTGCTCTCTCAACCGCCTCGCTGCTACACTGCTGTACACTAGTGGTGGGCAGGTGGAGTTGGCACACCGTTTAAAGGCAGTTATAAAACACCAGATTGTGGCCCCATGGTGGGAGATGAAACGCACCCACCCATGGCCGAGTGGTAATGCAGTCACACATCTGCCATGTTTTTGCTCTACAAACTGTGCTGAAATGCAATTCAGCAGTATCAGCTCCCATGGTGATGGGTAGGTTATCAAGTGTATGCTTTAATATAACTATATACATAATACAATCCAGTTTGAATTCAATAGTGTTCAGCAAGGTGTCATAAAATCTAAAAGTAAATATTCTTAACATGATTTAACAGAATGATTGCGTATAATCCATTTCCCGATTAGTCAGGTAATTATGGTATGTGGAAATAAAAAAAAAGTGGTAATAGTTTTACAATTAATTTAATTTATGGTATTTTTACCATAAGATGTAACTATTTTATATATGCCACATCTTTAAATATATATCATGTCATTCCGTGATAATATGTATGTAAACATGCAGAAATATTGTGAGAACAGAGTTTAAATGATGAAAAAATCTAGACTGGGAATAGGTCATTGTACATCTCCTCACTGGGACTGGACAAGGAAGTGGTCCTGTTCACTTATTGGTCACACATGGTCAACAGTTTTCATCTTAATATCGTCCTTTCATTTGCGCTCGCGCTGTTCCTTCAGTCTGTACTTTTCCCGAGTTGGGAAAAGCCCCCCTCCCTCTCGTAGGCGGACGAGAATTTCACGTTCATCGATGATTCTGAAATCGATTTTCTTTTAACCCAGTCATCGCTTTTCGCTCCTATTGGCTAGAGAGCTCAGCGACGCATATCCAGCCAATCACAGAGGACTATGTTGAGGCGTTGCAATTTTTACACTCTGCGATCGTTTAGTCGTCCTGGGAAGCTAGGGAAGTGAAGGCTAACACGTGTGATTAGTGATCTGCCGTGTTTTGCTTTCACTGCATGGTGCTGAAGTGACTCCGACTAATTATTTAAAGGTGACAGAAACCTCTCAGCTGACTGGTGAGCTCGGTTTAATCTGCTTTTAATATGGCGGACAACGTGGAGGATGATTCTCTGGACAGAATTAAAGGGGGGGACTACGTCGTGTTGAAACGGGGAGATATCTTCAAAGCTGTGCAAATTCAACCGAAGAAGTAAGTCCAAAAAAACTTTAACGAGCTAAACAAAAGCCTCACAAACTGGGGCTAGCTAAACCAGCTAAACACCTCACTACCGACTCACATTGAGATGCCATTCAATGGATTTCTTTGTTTATTTCTGCGTGCTCTACTCACAGGAAGGTGATTTTTGAGAAGCAGTGGTTCTTCCTGGACAACTCCGTGGGGCAGTTGCACGGCAGCACCTTTGAGATTGCGTCTGGAGGGATCCTGCAGCCTCAAAAGCCCAAAGACACAGAGAGCTCCACCGGTGTGTAACCTGCTGTTAGATGGAGCGCACACACACACACCAGGCATATTCATGATAAATGTCTCATTATTTCCAGATTCTATGCATGTTCTTGTGAAGGACTGTTATAGGCTGTTATGCTTTGAATAATCTCCTTCATGTGTTTTCTTCCCAGATGCAAAGGAGGCCGGCACAGACAACAGGAACATTGTAGACGATGGAAAATCGCAGAAGCTGACCAGGGATGACATTGAGAACTTAAAAGAGCAAGGTCTGAAGGACCAGGTACATAAGTGATCTTGCAATTGCATACATGAATGGGGAAGTATGACAGAACTGCCTGTCGTTGGGTCTGTTTGATAAAGGGGGCAATATTCTATTTCTTTATTACTGTCAGATTTTTGTGAAAACAAAAAACAACTTATTTGTTGTTCTATAGAAATCAGTTGTTGGCAAAACGTGTGTGTGTGTGTGTGTGTGTGTGTGTGTGTGTGTGTGTGGGTGTGGGGTCCACAGGAAATCATTCAGCAGCTTGTAGAGAACAGCTCCACATTCAGCGGTAAGACTAAATATGCCCAGGCTAAGTACATCAACAAGAAAAAGAAGAAGTGAGTAACTTCTGATGATGCACCCACAATTTGCTTCAGACTTCAAGCACTGTAATGTTACCAGTTGTTTCCATTCTTGTGCTTTTCCAGGTATGAAAATACTGTGACGATTCTAAAACCGTCCTGTCGCATCCTGGCTATGATGTACCACGGCCGGGAACCCGGGAAGATCTGGTGAGTCAGCACATGCATGAACAGCACAATGTGAAAGTTGTCCTTTAGTAGAGCAGAGAGAGAGATGAAAGTAATGATGTGTGTGTTTTTCTGTGATGCAGCCACCTGCGGTATGACATGCTTGCCCAGATGTTGACTCTGGCAAACATCCACGCAGGCAGCAAAGTTTTGGTGTTTGAGACCTGCGCTGGCCTCGTGCTGGGATCCGTCATGGAACGAATGGGGGGTACGTTTGTCCTTCTCTGGTGTTCGTCTGATTGACCGACTGATTTGAGCGTTTTTGTATACAAAGAAGCCTTTTCTCTTCCCTTTGCATAGTTACCCTCTCTCTTCCTCCTCATCCAGGCTATGGCTCAGTGATCCAAATGTACCCAGGAGGTGGGCCCGTGCGGGCGGGTGTGGAGAGCTTTGGCTTCCCCGCACATTTTCACGATATGCTGCATGAGTTTCCCATCTGCCATGTCAATGCTCTGCTGGCAGGCACTCTGGACACCACTGCCAAAGACCCTGATGCTGGTAGAGAATGCTTCTTTTCAACTCTCTAAGAAGAAACACAATAGCTGCAAACGAAAGCTGAAATGCCTGCAAAAGCTAAATATTTACTGGTTACAACTTTACAAATTTGCATGCGTTCCTCTGATCATTCTACCTTTTTCATAAACTACACGTAGACTTAGATGCTGTGACATTCATCTGATGTAAATGATCTCCCTCATCATTATAGTATCAAATCAGTCCGACATGGCTGCAGAGGAGGAGCAGAACCCGCCAAAGGCAGAACAGACGAGCAGTCCGGAGGAAATAAAAACGGAGGAAATTAAAATGGAGACAAACAGTGGCGCTGATGACGGCTACGACCCGGCGAAAGAAGAGAGGGAGAAACGCATCGAAGCCAAAGTATGCCCACTATCTACTAACCCCACTCAGGACATCTTTACTTTTGGTCATGAATTTATATTTGTAAGCAACAGGAATAAGCCTGTATAATAAGCCTGTATGTTTTTAAAAAAGTATCAGAATTGGATCTGAAAGAGAGGATCAATGTCCTAACTTCATGTTGTTGTTTTTAGGCTCAGGAAAAAAAGGTGAAGCAGGAGGAGAAACGGAAGAAGCTGGCATCTGCTGCTGCCCTGCTGGAAGGCAGGAATGCGGACGGGTTAGTGTCAGATTCAGCTCGCAGCTTCTGCTTTCTCTGCTCTTTTGCTGCAGCAGCCTCTTCCCTCTTCTGCTTTATCTGTGCCGGAATGGCACCGTGCAGTAAACAACCGTCATTAAAATGGATTGAAAAGGGATTAATGATTAAACGTATTGTTGAGTATGTCATAAAAGTCGTTCCTCTGAGCTCACGCGTGACGATTAGCACGCCGTGTCCTTACCAGATGAACAAAGTTATTGCTTTGCGGTTTCCTGTCCTGTAAAATGAAGAGGACTTGCTTTATAGCTTTCGTTGTGATTGATGGGTGAGAAGTATTGATCTGGTTAGCCTATTGACTCTCTACACCACAGCAGCTATATCATAAACGTCTTCCAGGCTGTCCTAAATCAGCCTCTTTTACTGACTCTTATCCAGCTACATAAAGGATGAAATGAATGTCTACAGTTGGCACTAAATCCCCGAGTCCTCCAGTCATAACTGTCATACAGCGCCCATCAGCTAAATTACGATACGGCCGACCTACACATTTCCAATAACAAAGTGTGTGGTTTACGGTGTATTTCACGTTGGACAGGTTTGCTTGATCATCCGTTTGTTTCCCACATGCAGGTTGGTTATAGCCAGTCGCTTTCACCCGTGTCCCGTCCTCATGGGCCTGATCAAGTTCCTCTCCCCCTCCAGGCCTTTTGTCGTCTACTCCCAATACAAAGAGGTAAGATCACGAGGAGTAGTGATATTTACTGGAACTCCACTGAACGAGATGAGAAAGAGGTCGTACAGCTTGAAATTTGTCTAAAATAAGTTGTGGAGGAAATGCTTGAAAACATTAAAATCAACTAACTAAGTCAGACACTTATTATATTGTAATGAATTCCCGTGCATGCTGCTCAGAGTAACTGTAGTGACAGCATGGTGTCTCTCTAGCACCGTCCTGCTGTTAACGGAGCTAAAGGGCTCTGGCTAACGTTAACGGAGGCTGCATTGACTTTCATCATATTTTTATAGTGTGTTTTTATGCAAATAACCATTCTAGATGACAATAACAAAGTTAAAGAATAACATTTAGAATGTTTGATGGTTTACCGTCCGGAGCCTTGCTGTCAATTACAGTTCTTAGAAAGAAAATCAAGTTTGGCGTGTGAGGCTTTTAAAGAAATAAGAATTGTGAATCAGCCGAGAAAATTGTAATCGGTTTATCTCTGTTTACGATCACATCCCTGCCTTTATTATACCTTTTATTGTGTGTGTGTCAACTTGTTGACTCTGCAGTCCTCTTAATGCTCCTTTGTCCTCGCTTCCTGCTCTCATCTCTGCAGCCTCTGATCGAGTGCTACACAAAGCTCAAGGAACTTGGCGGTACGGTCAACCTCAGACTCGCAGACACCTGGCTCAGACATTACCAGGTACGAATGTTCAACTCTGAATCGTGTCTTTTGTTTGAGTTCTATTGTTAAAGCTGCTCCAGTCAGCACGTTTTATAGTAACAATGGATCAAATGACTGTGTAATGTGAAAAGGGGGTCAATCATAGTTATCACTTGGCTCTGCAGGTTCCCTCAGCTAACCAGGTTTAGCTTGTTCAGCTCGTGTTTGCATACTCAAAGAGATCTTCCCCCTCAGGACCAGAGTGTTATCCCCCAGCCCTGTCTTTAGAATGAATGTCTCCTGACTGTACGTCTGCGCATCGTGTCCCTAGGTGTTGCCTAACAGGACGCATCCATTGCTGCTGATGAGCGGTGGCGGGGGCTACCTCCTCTCAGGAACAACCGTTGCCGTGGACCGATCCAACCGCGCCGGCTCCCAGCGAGCCGAGGAGCCGGCGCCAAAGAGACTGAAAGTGGAAGACACTGACGGATGAACAACTACAGACGCATCTAATCTTTTAAGGGCAGATTACCAGCGGCCCGTGGGGGTTTTCCTCCAGCATCGACTTCTCTTTCTGCTGAACTGATGTGACACCTCTGGCATAAGCGAGACGGAGTGTCTGGTTTGCATTCATCAGAGCACTTTCTCCCATCTTGTGTAGTCAGATCAGCGCAGAGGAAGGCGTAATGCTGAGGAGTGACCTATAAGGCACTATGAGCTCAGTGTGTGTGTTGTGTAAGGAACCGCGGAAATAATCTTGTGTTTTGAGAGTAACACATTTGTTTCTTACGGCTCGAGGCAAGGTGTAAAAACATGTTTTTCTCCAGTTGATGCTCTCCAGCTTCTTTTTTTTATATTTTCTTATCACCGCAGAAAGTGCCATTCTTTATGTGATGCAGCTGCTCATGCAGCTTGACTGTGGGTTACCGTCTGTATCTGCACAGAATTAAAAAAGTAAAAAAGCAGTTCTAAAACAGCCTGCTTTGTGAACACTTTTTTTTTTTTTTTTTTCAATCAAGAAATAATTTCAGAGATATTTGTTTGGTCCCAGAATAACTCCTTTTATTGAGTGCAGACTGAACAAACTCGATTTGAATAATTTGTCTCAGATGCATATATTATGTCATATTTTCTCTTATTACATATTTATATATAAACATCAAAACCATTCCCATGCTGAGTAATTTCATAACATCAAAATATCACAAATACGCTGATAAACAAGTTAATCGTTTTTTGGCAAGGCTCCAGATTTTGTTGTCTTTTTTTCATCACATACTAATTTAGCTGACGTACAGTAGGACAGCAGCTTTTATCCACTGGTCGTGTCTTGAAGTGCTCTCCATCATGGCTTATGCACCGTTGTCATGCAACTTGGCAACGATTTTCTGCAGCTCCGTGTCCATCGCTGCGAGGTTTCCCAGCTCTTTCTCCTGAAAAACACGAGCAGCAATACATCAGCAACTAAACACCATCACTTTATACTGTGACATCTGATTGTCTTTATCATTTATGGAATAGAAATAAGGACGGACGTATCATAAATGCTGCTTTGTTTACTGATGACTCCTCAAAAATCTGCATAAATTGGTCATTTAGGTTAATAAACGTTTCCTTATCCCTCGAGCTGTGGTGCTTAAACCTGCTATCACTTCACCTCCTGATTTGTTTTGCTGCTCCAGAATATGTGACAAGCTGGGGAGATCTAAAATGCCGTCCATCTCTTTTTAATGGGCTTATTATGACTTTGATTGCTCTGGGAGGCCATAATAACGAGGTTCTTGGTGTGATTACTGCAGCAGCCATAAAAAGCCGATGTGGAAAATGCAAATAGAAAAGGGGGCAAGTGTCGGAGAGAGGTGCCACGAAGGAAACGATTTGAACGAGGCAATAAAAACTCAGCTAAATATTCCAGAGTTGAGGAACGAGTCACTGCCCGTGAGTATACTGGTTATATTTCTCCTTCTTGTATTTGGGACATGCTCTTGAGGGACGGCTCTTGATGTGCGTTTGCACAGATGCGTATTCACTGATGCTCTGAAGGCGAAGTCCTGACATCTCCATAGAGATTTCCATAATGAGTATGGCTGCCTTTCCCCCCCAGTGGACACCGTGGGGTGGAGGCACTTGATGTATGTCGTGGCTTTACTGGGTCAGCTAAATACATAGGGGAAGACTTTTTTCTATTTTTAAAACACACAAATGTATATTCTCAATATGTCGGGGTAGATTATTGGTCTTAAACTAGTTAAGATTTGCATATATTTCTATATTGCCAGTTTTTTCATCAGTACCAGTAAATAACCGTATGATAATGTATTTTCACCACAGTCCCCAGGTGTAGTTTGAGGTTTAACAGCATGACAGTAAATGCATCCTCACATCGGTCGTAAAGGTCCTTTTTTTTTTTTTTTTTAATGCAGTTTTTTTTTACCTCCTGCTGGGTTAGTGCTCTCTGGTGCATGCTCCTGTTTGGCTCCTCTTGATTGGAGTGGTGGGCCAGCTGGTTCACCTTATAGCTCAGCAACTTGGCAACTTCATCCATCTGAAGACATTCAAGGCAGAATCAGATTATGTCTCATAAACTGTACATTGTAGGCCAAAATAAAGATCTGCCACTCAAAGGTTTACTGGTATCTGAGGGATGAAGAAAGAAGTGTACTATTAAGAAAATGAATAGATGTTGGATACTAAATAATATTACATACACATGTTTAAAATGCTAAGAAAATGTACAATATTACCCAATTTGTGAAATCTATATTTGACATAATCAATCTTTATGTTTATTGTCTCTGATCTTAAGCAATTTGCAACAAATCACTCCTTCATATATGTAGCCAAAAAATAAAGTCTAACACATAATGCCTACCTTGTTTGAGGTTGTGGCGTGCTCATCTGAATCCCTTTTGTACCAGGCAGGATGGTAGAAACCTCTATAAATCCAGGGGTTACGCTTCTCAGCCAGATACCTGAAAAACAGCCCCAATAACAGTTAGTTTTTTTATGTCAGCACATGAACACTGCTAAAGGGGTTTGCTCATTTCTTGTACTGAATGTTGTTTTGATCCCAACTGACTGGAGACTACTAGGTTGTTTGATTTGACGAAAGATGAAAGTACCTCACTGCTTCGTCCTTGTCCTCATCTTCCTCTGAATCATCCCTCAGTTCTTCGTCATCTCCGCCACGCTTGTGAAATTTCTTCTTATGGTGGTATCGATGTGTTGGTTTCCAGATGCGCTTTTCTATTCCCGCCTCTTCTTTTCCATGTCGTTTGTCCACGCCCCAGTCCTCCTGGCTGCGTTGCCCGTCCAGCGCTTCCCTCTCCTCCTCTGTGAGCTCTTCATCACGTTTGTGTCTCCTCTGGTGGGGCCTGACCGCCCTCCTGTCTCTCTTTTCCCATCCAGTATTGAAATCCCAGTACTCCTGGCTGCGTTCTTCATCAGGCTCTTCTCGTGCTTCTTCTGAGAGCTCTTCGTCACGCTTGTGTCTCCTCTGGTGGTACCTTCCGGCCCTCCAGTCCCGCTTGTCAAGACCCCAAGATTCCTGGCTGCGTTCTTCGTCAGGCTCTTCTCGTGCTTCTTCTGAGAGCTCTTCGTCACGTTTGTGTCTCCTTCCGGCCCTCCAGTCCCGCTTGTCAAGACCCCAAGATTCCTGGCTGCGTTCTTCGTCGGGCTCTTCCCTGGTTTCTTCTGAGAGCTCTTCATCACGTTTGGGTCTCTTCTGGTGGTACCGTCCGGCCTTCCAGTCCCTCTTGTCAAGACCCCAAGATTCCTGGCTGCGTTCACCATCTTCCTGCTCCTCTGACGGTTCATCGCCACGCTTGTGGAACTTTTTCTTGTGGTGGTAGCGATGTGTGGGCTTCCATATGCGCTTGTGTCTCTCCTCCTCGTCCTCGTCCACTTCCCTTTTGCCCACGTCCCAGTACTCTTGGCTACGCTCTTCCTCTGGCTCCTCCCTCTCGTCCCCTAAAGATTCCTCATCTCGTTTGTGTTTTCTCTGGCGGTATCTTGAAGGCCTCCAGGTCCTCTTATCTTTCTCTTCACCTCCTCCTTCTTCTGATCTCTTTTCCTCGCCCCCCCAGCTCTCCTGACTGCGCTCATAGTCTTCCTCTTCTTCTCCCCGTTTGTGCTTCTTTTGGTGGTATCTTCCAGTCCTCCAGCTCCTCTTCTCCCGCTCCTCTTCCTCCCCGTTCTCGTGTCTCTTCTCCTTCTCGTCACCCAGACTCCAGGATTCTTGGCTGCGCTCGTCTTCTGGGATTTCTCTTTTATCCTCAATGGATTTCAGGAGAGCCTCGATGTCTTTCACATCTGCTCCCTTTGCCTCGGGCACCTCAAGATGACCGTTGGCCACCTCTCCATGAGTTGCTACCCCCTCAATGCTCTTCTTGTCCAGCGGGGCATGTTTAACCCCTATGACAGAACAAAAGATAAAATCAGAGGAGATATAAACAACTTAATGTAGCTCTAAGACTTCAGCCTTTAGGTCAAATCCCATCTTGTATGTGATGATTTGATCAATCACTTGTTTGATATTTAGGTTCAATTAATTGTGTTGGAGGAAAGCGTCTCCTGAATATTTCTGATTTAAAGTGGATAAGCGGTATGAAAGCTGTAAGCAATATTAATAGCTCTATTTTGTCACTGGCTGGTGAAAAAAAAATAGCCTACTTGTTCCGGTTTTTGATTTTGTGTGTTTGAATCTCCTCAATGTCTCATCGATCTGACAGTTAAAAGAGTGCATTGATGTTTTAAATGTGCCTGTTTACCATCTCCATGCACAGTGAAGAATCTGTTTGTGCTACAAACCTGCTTGGAGAATGTCTTTGCATTCCTGGTCCAGCTGGGAGTCCGGTTTGGAGAGCGCTTTGGACAGGACTTCAACCAGACAGCGTGTTACCTGCAACACACGAAATAAACTCAATACGTAGCTTCTTTCGTTTCTGCAAAGCAGCTGTTTTAAAACTTAATAATTGCATTTAAAAAGCATACCACATCTTCTCTCTGCCCTTCTTTTCCCACTGGAAGCGCTAGATTTTCTGCATTAGAAAATAAAATAAAATAAAGCATGGTCAAACTGCACAAGGATTGCATGTATTAAAGTGAAAGAGCAGTCAGTGTCTCTGTCCATGGTCCTGAACTGTGCTCACTAACTTACAGCACTCTGCAAGAAGAAAACCATCACTCCATCACTTACCTGTCAACAAAGACGCCACCGCAACAACAACAAAAATAAGTCTCATCTTGGCGAGATGAAGGTGTATCCAAGAAAATGTGAGGAAAAAAGCAACAACTCCAGTCCCTCCGAAAGCGGCGGGAGAAAGCTGCGCTGACTGGGCGCCTGCTGCTCTGAAGACTGGAGCAGAGGAGCTCCTCTAATAAAGAGAGGAGTGGGCTGGAGGAGCGTGGGAGGAGGGCTTTCGGCTGTGTTAATGTCATGACTCATTAGACTTGCGAAGAGAGTGGTCTGAGTGAAATTTGATGCATGCACAATGTTGACATTTTGCGAAACCGAATTAGCGATTAGTGTCACTGTTCATTCAGGTGATAATTTGAACAGATTTTTTGAGACAGTGGATTGAGGTTCATGCAGCGTGTTTGTGTTTAATGCCGTGACATGCCTGAGGACAGGCAGGTACGGGGGGGTGCACACAGCATCACGAAGGTTCGTGCACTCTTCTGCAACCAGATCCTAAAGCCCTGAAACTCTCCTTTGTAAAGAAGAGAGAAGTTGATTCAGCTACAGTATGTTTATGCTGCTGGTGCTGCTGTTCTTCTGCAGAAAGACACTATATTTGAATGTTAAGTCAGACATATTCATGATATTGTGCCCTGTGGTTTATTCACTCAAAATAAGATGGGTTTGTTCTTCCGACGGGGCTTACCCCAGTCTCTGATCTTATGTAATGTATTATCAGCTGCAATGTTGCCCTACATTTCATGTTTGCTTAACAGATTGAATATATATGCTAATGTGCCATATACTTAGAAAACAGATAAGTATATGTAGCCATGGAGTCTGACCAGTCAGAATTTAGCCCCATACTCCTCAAAAATTCATTCCGCCTTCAGCACATCCCGTCCAGTTTCCCATGGGACCATGTGAGCTTTAGCACCAGTAGAGGAAAACTAGTTAATGGAGACCTGGATCGATAGCCTGGTTGTTGTATTTAACGCTCGAGTGACGTGGAGAGGAGCGTGTACATCTTTTTGCTGTTTTTGTCCAAGTTATTCATTGATCCGGAGTATTATGTGACTGGTTTAAAAAAGAACACAGCTGTAGGGAAATAATAACAATGTAATTGCATTGACAAGTGCAAGTGTGTGTGTGTGTGTGTGTGTGTGTGTGTGTGTGTGTGTGTGTGTGTG